AGTTATGGGGGGGAAGCCATTGTAATCCATAAGCTGTACTTTGGAAATTTATATTCATTAAATAAAAGTTAAAAAAAAGAAAAAAAGTTATTTTAACTGACATAAAATTGTAATTATTTATGGGTTACCATGCTATGTTTCAATACACTATACACTGTATAATGTTTAAGCAAGGTAAACATAGATAATTCTTCAAACATTTAACATTTCCTTATGATGAAAACACTCAAAACCCTTTCTTCTTCTAGCTTTTTAATTTAAAAATATATATACAATGTGTTATCATTATCTGTAACCACCCTGCTATGCAACAGAATATCAGAACTTCTTACCTCTATCGAAATATAGCTGAGTACCCATCAGTTAACCTTTCCCTGGCTCTTCCTCTCTACTTTTCTCAGCCTCTGGTAGCCTCTCAACTTTTCAAAATTCCACAAATAACTGGGATTCTGGGGTACTCATATTCCTGTGTCTGGCTTATTTCATTCAACATAATGACCTCCAGTTCCATCCATGTTGTTACAAATGACAAGATTTCATCCTTTTTATGGCTGAACTACATTCTATTTTGCTTATGTACATTTTCTTTATTCAGTCGACAGTAGATGGACATTTATTTTTTTCCACTTCTTGGCTATTGTGAATAGTGCTGCGGTAAATATGGGAGTGCAGATGTCTCTTTGACAGACTGATTTGGATAAATGTCAGTAGTAGGACTGCTGTACCTCATGATAGTTCTATCAAATACATAAAAACTGCACAAAATCACTATTCATCAGTGAAATGCCAATCAAAAGCACAATGAGATAGCCTCTCACTCCAGTTAGATTGCCTATTATCAAAAAGACAAAAGATGGCAAATGATGGCAAGGACATAGAGAAAACAGAACCCTTGCATACTGTTGGTGGGAATGTAAATTAGTGCAGTCATTGTGGAAAACAGGGTGCATTTCCCTAAGAGAACTACTTCGGAAAATTAGTTATGGCATCATCCAGTAAAATGAACCAGGGTTCCCTGGAATAGGGCTGGAATAGGGGAAGTATGTCAAGAACCTTGCATACCTTATGGTCACAGAAGTCTGAAAATATTCAAAAAAGATGGTGACATTTCAAAATAACACCAGAGCCAGTTTCAATAGGCTGTCATTAATAAAGTTAGGACAACTTTGAGCACAAAACTATTACTGACAATTATAACCTTTAGAATAGAAAAGAACCCATGAGACCATCCCATACATAAAAAGAGGAAGAGGAAGAGGATGAATGATAAAATAAGTGTGGTAAAATATAGATTTGGGGCATCTGAGAAAAGGTAGATGAGAAGTCTCCATATTACCTTTGAAAACTTTTGAAAGTGTAAGTTATATCAAAATTGAAAGTTAAGGAGAAAATGGGGTGGGCATTTGGTGCAGCTGTTAAGATGCCACTTGGGATCCCCACATCCCATATCTGAGTATCTGAGTTCAAGTCCTTGCTCCATTTTCTATCCACATTCCTGCTAATGCACACTCAGAGACAGCAGGTGATGATACAAGGACTTGGGTTCCTGCCAGCCACATGGGAAACCAAGATAGAGTTACTGGATCCTGGTTTTGGCCTGATCCAACCCTGGCGGTTATAGAATTTCTCTGTCTTTTAGCTCTACAATAATCTTCCTTCATAAAATCCTATCCTTGTCTTGCAAAGACTTTTCTTATGACTAAGTTATGAAAAGTTTTGTTAAAAAAAAATTTTAAATCCTATGTGATCAATGTTCCAAAGTGAAAGTGTACATGTCCTAGGTAGATTCATTTTCTTTTTGAATTAATTGCCTAAATGGCTTAAAAAGTTTCTGGTTTCATTAAACAATCCAAAAACAGCAAGAACTTTTCCCCAAAACTTAGCTATCAAATTATTCCTCTCATAATGTGTCGCTTTCTCATGTTAGTATTGAAATGCCAAAATACTCTTGCAGATAACTGTTTTCAAATTGGTGCCCAAAACTTTTAAATTGCATGAAATTCTGGTTTGGGAACCAAGTGTTAAGTAGAAGAGCAGGGGCAGTAGGTACGCAGGAAGATAGTAATAGAGGTATCAGTAACAGCGCTGGGCTTCCTTTTCCACCCTGGCAAGTTAATGCTAGCTAACGCATTCCCAGCATTTGTACAACAGCAATTTTTCCCAAAAGAATGCTTTATTCCAAAAGAACTCCAGGAGTAGCCATTCAGTCTAGCAGTTAACACACTGTGTCTCATATCAGAGTACCTGGGTTTCATAATTGCCTCCAGGTCCTAACTAGATTCCTGCTAATGCAGGTGCTGGGAGGCAGGAGGGACAGCTCAAGTCACTGAGTTCCTGCCACCCACCTGAGAGACCTTGAGTTGCTGGTTCTCAGTTTCAGCCTGGCTAAGCTCTGGCCACGGCAGGCGTTTGAGGACTGTACTCAAGGATGGGAGATTTCTCTCTGCTGTTCTCTCTCCTTCCCCCTCCCCCCATCTGCCTCTCAAATAAGTAAACAAACAGAAATTAAAACATGGGGAAAAAACTGTTTCTCTTTAAAAAGTAACAGAAACCCCTAATGTTTTAATTTAAGAAATATATAAGATAAAAGTAGAAAGAAAAATCTAAAAGTATGTTTTCAAATATTAAACTAACTGTGGAAGAAACTTTATAAATTTCACTTCAAGGGCCAGCGCCACGGCTCACTAGGCTAATCCTCCGCCTTGCGGCGCCAGCACACCGGGTTCTAGTCCTGTCCGGGGCGCCGGATTCTGTCCCGGTTGCCCCTCTTCCAGGCCAGCTCTCTGCTGTGGCCAGGGAGTGCAGTGGAGGATGGCCCAAGTGCTTGGGCCCTGCACCCCATGGGAGACCAGGAGAAGTACCTGGCTCCTGCCATCGGATCAGCGCAGTGCGCCGGCCGCAGCGTGCCAGCCGCTGTGGCCATTGGAGGGTGAACCAACGGCAAAGGAAGACCTTTCTCTCTGTCTCTCTCACTGTCCACTCTGCCTGTCAAAAAATAAAAATATAAGAAAAATTTAAAAAAAAATAAATAAAAAAATAAAAAATAAATAAATAAAAATTTCACCTCAAAAGCAAAAGAAAAGACACTCACTATCAACCTGATGTGGTTGAGTCTCATAAGACCACACTGTCTAGTGTTATAACTGTTGGCTATTTGCCTTTCAAATAAATGAAAAATAAATCTTTAAAAATTTTTTAAACACCTCAGTAACATTTTTCATATTGAAATTGTAGGGGTAGATTAGGACACCTGTATCTCATATTGTAGTAACTGGGTTCAATTCCCAGTTCTGGCTCTTGACTCCAGATTCCTGCTAATGCAGATTCTGGGAGGCAGTGTGATGACTTAAGAAATTAAGTTCTTGCCACGCACATGGGAGGCCTGGATTGAATTACTGGATCCTGGTTTTAGCCCCAGCCCAGCCCTAGACATTGTGAGCATATATGGAATTAACCAGCAAATGAAAGTTGTCTCTGTCTCCAAAGTGTGTGTGTGGGGGGGGGGGGAGTGAGGAGAAAAGGGAGAGAAGAAAGGAAAGAAAAAGAAAAGATGGAAGGAAAATGAAACAAAAGAAAAGGAAAAATAAAAAGGGAAGGGAAGGGAAGGGAAGGGAAGGGAAGGGAAGGGAAGGGAAGGGAAGGGAAGGGAAAAAGAAAAACAAGAAAAGAAAAAAGAGAGAGAGGCTGAAGTTGTGGCACAGCCAAACCCAGGCATCCCATATAGCCACTGCTTCAAGTCCTGACTGCTCCATTCCCAGTCCAGCTCCCTGCTAATGTATCAGGGAGGGGAACAGAAGATGGCCCAAGTACCTGGGCCCTTGCCACCCATGTAGGAGACCTGGATGGAGTTCCAGACTCCTGTCTTCAAGCATGGCCCAGCCCTGGCCATTGCAGCCATTTGGGAGTGAACCAGCAGGTGGAAGATCTCTCTTTGTCTCTCCCTCTTTCTCTGTCATGCTGCCTTTGAAATAAATAAATGTTTTAAAAAGCAAGTAATAAGAAACAGAGAAAGAGGGAGAGAAAAGGTGAGAAGGGATGAAAGGAAGGAGGGGGAAAAGGAAGAGGAAAAGAAGAAATAAAGAAATTCGGATTTTTTTGATACGCTGAATTAAGCAAAACAAAATTCACTTGATCTTTCTTTTACTTTTCTCAATGTGGCTATTTTTTAGAAAATTTAATATTAAACATGTCACTCATATTTGTAGCCCTCATTATATATCTACTGGGCACTGGCCTCTATAATGAATCATAATGTATTAAATTACCTTTAAAATCTCTTCTAGCACTGACACTAAGAAACTGTACATTCAAGCTAGTAATTCTTAAATAGAATTACTTCATATAAGCCTAGCTTTTGTCATTACTTCATTCTTCTTTCACATTTTTTTCACCCAGGCCTTTTAGTATCTTCTCATTCTACCTCCCACACATCCCTAACAGCAAGGAGAAATTAATGTGTCAACTTACTTACTGATAAACTGCAAAGTGCAGTTCACTGGGTCATTCTAGACAGATAATAAAATTGACATTTTGTCATATTCCTTTTTGCTTCACACTATCCTAATTTCTGTTCATTTTTAACCATCTTTAACAAGCAATGAACCCCGTGAGCTCTTTTCAGATTTATTTAATATTTACAAAATAGAAGTTACAGTCTTAGAGAACTGTAGATGTCTTATATTCCAGTGACTAGCAAATACGCTGGCATGGTTAATCACCTGGGGAACATTCGAAAAACATGGATCCCCAGGCTGAATGTTTGGGAATTCTGGCTCAGTCACTCTGGATGGGACCCAAGATCCTGTATTTCCTAAGATTCCCAGGTCACTTTGAAACTTAGATAAAGTTTGGGAACCACTGGTTTAACCTAACCTGATCTGTGACTGGGGTGAAATGAATTATCCCAGTGCTGAGGCCCACAGGCCCCAGACCTGCACACAGCACTGCTGACGGTAGCTCACTGCCATTAACAGACATTACAAAAAATACACATTACTCACTCCTCAAGAGCCCCAGTCATCAGTATATCTTCCTTGTCAGTTTTAACATCCAACTCTGGTTCTCCACTAAGCAGGAGCTTCAAGTTATATATAACCAGCAATGTACCTGGTAGAAAAATAGATGTTTGTCTTGTCAGCATTTTAAATACACCAAATGCAAGTCATTGTGCTAGCATCTCATCTATAGAACTGAGTCTACTATATATCAAATTTCCTATTATATTTCAGTAAATAGTATATTTAGATAAGATCCAAGACATGATCATATCTTGTGAGCGTGTCAAATTCCATCCTCTGCCAGAGTGCTGAGTTTCTATAGTATGTTTATTCTTATTACTATTGAATTCATTATAAGTTTTTCAATGTGGATTCTTAAATTTTAGCACTCTTCATAATTTACATTATGAAAATTGTTGGAGCCAGATCCAAATTTGAATTATAGGTAAATAGCCCATTAGAGGAACTGAAATAAACACTTATAATAAAAGATGAATTTTAAAATGTTCAAATATGAAAGACTGCTTTTAGACTCCATAGCAGATGTCGGCAAACACTTTCTGTAAGAGTTAGATAGTAAATGTTCCACGCTTTGCAGGCCATACAGTGTCTGTCACAACTGCTCACAATTCAACTCTGCCACTATAGTATGACAGCAGCCACAGAGAATATGCAAATTAATGAATGCTGCTGTGTTCCAATAAAACTTTGTTTCCAAAAATAGATACTGGGCCAAACACTACCTGCGATAAAGTTTTCTGACATGTGCTCCATCTCATAGTTAACAAAACTTTCCAAATACTTTAAGAAGTTGATTACTTTATGAAGATAAATAAGATGATCGCAGAAATTAAAAGAACAACTCAATATACTGTTTATGGTGCTTCTTTAACACATAGAACAGTTTAGTGGCCAAGAACACGCAGTGTGGAGCCTAAATGCTTCAGTTTAAATTCTGGATCTTCGTTTACTAGTGCGCTGATCTCAGGTAAGTTCTCTAACCTCTCTAAACCTAAGTTTTCCTGTTTATACAGTGAAGCTCAGTGGAATTCTTTCAAGGGTTCCTTGACTTAACTTTTATAAAGCACTTGGGAAAGTGTTCAGAAAATAGAAAATGCTTCACCAGTATTTCTATGAGTATTTCACATTTCCCTGTTAAATATAGAGTGGGAATAAGAGAGGGAGGAGATGTACAGTTTGGACAAGCTCCATCAGACTTACCCCTAATGGTAGAGTTAGAAACGCGCTAGGGGATTCCAATTCAATCCCATCAAGATGGCATGTACCAATGCCATCTCACTAGTCAAAGCAATCAGTTTCAGTTCATAGTTGATCATAATGATAGGATTAAGTGTCAAAGGGATCACATAAACAAGACCAGTGTCTGAAAATACTAACTGATAGAATTAAAAAGGAGAGAACAATCCAACATGGGAAGCAGGATACACAGCAGACTCATAGAATGGCAGATGTCCTAAACAGCCTCAGAATCAGCCCTTAAGACATTCAGATCTGGCTGAAGAGCCCATGAGAGTATTTTAGGCATGGAATGCCAAGACACTCTGAAAAAAAAAAAAAGACCTAAATGAAAGATCCCTGTGAGTGAGATCCCAGCGGAAAGAACAGGCCATCAAGGAAGGAGGTATCTTTCTCTGAAGGGAGGAGAGAACTTCCACTTTGACTATGACCTTTCCTAAATAAGATCGGAGTTGGCGAACTCAAGAGGCTTCCATAGCCTTGGCAACTCATGACAAGAGCCTTGGGTGATTACTGATGTCATAAATAAGAGTGTCAATTGTTAAATCAACAACAGGAGTCACTGTGTACTTACTCTTCATGTAGGATCTCTGTCCTTAATGTGTTGTACTATGTGAATTAATGGTATAACTAGTACTTGAACAGTACTTTATACTTTATGTTTCTGTGTGGGTGCAAACTGTTGAAATCTTTACTTAATATATACTAAATCGATCTTCTGTATATAAAGAGAATTGAAAATGAATCTTGATGTGAATGGAATGGGAGAGGAAGTGGGAGATGGGATGGTTGCAGGTTGGAGGGTGGTTATGGGGGGAAAAAGCTGCTATAATCCAAGAGTTGTACTTTGGAAATTTATATTTATTAAATAAAAGTTTAAAAAAGAAATAAACCAAGAGACTCCATTAACTGTCCTTAAAATACACTGTGTATATGAGTGAAAAAAATTACCATGGTTTTTCTTCTATGATAATTGGAAAGAGATGACTTAAAACATAACCTTTCAACAAAATGCCAAAATAAGATCTCAAGTCAGAAACAAATATCTCACAATTTCACTATAAACATTACATATATCAAAGCATTGCAAAAAGTGGCATGCACATAGCTTTCTCTCAAGTAGGGCTCTTTTCACTTTAGATATTAAAAATACTGAGCTGGGATAAAAACTGGTACTAGAAAACATCAGCAAACATAGTTCATCCCACAGTATGTTTAGCAGGAACTGAGTGGAGGCTAAAACATTGGGCAAATATCTGTTAATTTTGAGAAAAATGTCTATGAAACTTTTGCTCACTTTGTGCTGCAGAAACATGGGGTCATTATTTTCTACATCATTAAGTCTCTTATAAACCAGTCTCAGATGGTAGAATAAGTATCTCCTAACCATGCCCTATGGTGCAAGGACTGTGAAGTCCCTGCGGTCGTAACTTGGATCATCGTCTTCTCCTCCAGTTCCACAAAGCTCACGAAAGTATCACACTTTATTCCAGTATCAGGGATGTTTCAAACTCATGTTTGGTTTCTCTTAAGGTAAAACTCATATGTATAAAATGAATGATTGCTCCCATGTGATATCCTACATGAGATTATTAATACAAAAAATACGTGTGTGTGTGCGTGCGCGCGCATGTAGTACCTTTCATAAGGTACTTTAAATAAAAACTTCCATCAAAATTTCAGAGTTTTGATGATCTTACCACATTTTCCATAAATCACATCAAACTGCCGCATCAATTCAGCTTCAGTTTTAAATGGAGAGTATTTATAAATGATAGACAATTCCACTGAGAATTTTTGAGGATCATCTGCAATAGATTTTCTGGAACTTGTTAACCATGAAGGCATTGGAACTACAACCTACAAAACAATGCACATCAGTTTATTATGAAATTCACAAAAACCATCATCTTTTAGCTCTGAACAACTATTTAATGCAGATTATAAAACACAAAGTTAAACGTTTATTTTCCTTATGTATTCTACTTTTACAATGAATACACAGAACAGATAAGTATAAAGAACTTTATTTTAAAATGCTCCATTGTGGAATATGAAGATAGATGGGGTCATCTGCAGCTCCCTCTTGAAAGATGGTAAGAGTGGCAGGAGATACCTTTCACCTTACACAAAAATTCACTCAACATGGATTAAAGACATAAATCTATGACCCAACACCATCAAATTGCTAGAGAGCATTGGTAAAACCCTGCAAGATTTAGGTACCAGAAAGACTTCTTGGAAAATACACCAGAAGCACAGGCAGTCAAAACCAAAATTAACATGTGAGATTGCATCAAATTGAGAAGTTTCCGTACTGCAAAAGAAACAGTCAGGAGAGTGAAGAGGCAACCGACAGAATGGGAAAAAATATTTGCGAACTATGCAACAGATAAAGGTTTGATAACCAGAATCTACAAAAAAATCAAGAAACTCCACGACATCAAAACAAACTGAAGAGATAGGCCAAGGACCTCAATAGACATTTTTCAAAAGAGGAAATCCACATGGCCAACAGGCACATGAAAAAATGTTCAAGATCACTAGCAATCAGGGAAATGCAAATCAAAACCACAATGAGGTTTCACCTCACCCCAGTTAGAATGGCTCACATACAGAAATCTACCAACAATAGATGCTGGAGAGGATGTGGGGAAAAAGGGACACTAACCCACTGTTGGTGGGAATGCAACCTGGTTAAGCCACTATGGAAGTCAGTCTGGAGAGTCCTCAGAAACCTGAATATAACCCTACCATTCAACCCAGCCATACCACTCCTTGGAATTAACCCAAAGGAAATTAAATTGGCAAACAAAAAAGCTGTCTGCACATTAATGTTTATTGCAGCTCAATTCACAATAGCTAAGACCTGGAACCAACCCAAATGCCCATCAACAGTAGACTGGATAAAGAAATTATGGGACATGTACTCTATAGAATACTATACAGCAGTCAAAAACAATGAAACCCAGTCATTTACAACAAGATGGAGGAATTTGGAAAACATCATGCTGAGTGAAATAAGCCAGTGCCAGAGGGACAAATATCATATGTTCTCCCTGATCAGCGACAACTAACTGAGCACCAAAGGGGAAACTTGTTGAAGTGAAATAGACACTATGAGAAACAGTGACTTGATCAGCTCTTGTCTGACAGTTGATGTACAATGTAATACTTTATCCATTTTAGTTTTTTGTTGTTGTTGTTGTTCTAGTACTATTGGTTGAACTCTGCAATTAACACACAATTATTCTTAGGTGTTTAAATTTTAACTGAAAAGTGATCCCTGTTAGGAATTTGGAAAACATTATGCTGAGTGAAATAAGCCAGTCCCAAAGGGACAAATATCATATGTTCTCCCTGATAGGTGACAACTAACTGAGCACCAAAAAGGAAACCTGTTAAAGTGAAATGAACACTATGAGAAACAGTGCCTTGATCAGCCCTTGCCCTGACTGTTGATGAACAACTTAATACATGATCCCTTTTAGTATTTTTTTTGTTTGTTCTACTTAATACTTTTGGTTGAATATTGTAATCAATAACTATTCTTAAGTGTTGAAACTTAACTGAAAAGTGATCCCTGTTACATATAAGAGTGAGAATAAGAGAGGGAAGAGATGTGCAATTCGGGACATGCTCAAGCTGACATACTTCAAACAGCGGAGTTAGAAACATACTAGGGGATTCCAATTCAATCCCATCAGGTTGGCATGTACTGATGCCATCTCACTAGTCCCAGTGATCAATTTCTGTTCACAATTGATCGTAATGATAGTACTAAGAGCCAAAGGGAGCACATAAACAAGACCAATGTCTGCTAATACTAGCTGATAGAATAAAAAAGGGAGAGAACGATCCAACATGGGAAGCGGGATACACAGCAGACTCATAGAATGGCAGATGTCCTAAATAGCACTCTGGCCTCAGAATCAGCCCTTAAGGCATGCAGATCTGGCTGAAAAGCCCATGAGAGTATTACAGGCATGGAAATCCAAAACACTCTGGCAAAAAAAAAAAAAAAAAAAAAAAGAAACACCTAAATGACAGATCTCCGAGAGAGAGATCCCAGTGGAAAGAATGGGTCATCAAAGAAGGAGGTACCTTTCTCTGAAGGGAGGAGAGAACTTCTACTTTGACTACGACCTTGTCTAAATGTGATCAGAGTTGGTGAACTCAAAAGGCTTCCATAGCCTTGGCAACTCATCACAAGAGCCTAGGGTGATTACTGATGCCATAAACAAGAGTGTCAATTTGTTAAGTCAACAACAGGAATCACTGTGCACTTACTCCTCATGTAGGATCTCTGTCCTTAATGTGCTGTACATTGTGATTTAATGCTATAATGAGTACTCAAACAATATTTTTCACTTTGTGTTTCTATGTGGGTGCAAACTGTTGAAATCTTTACTTCATATGTGCTAAACTGATCTTCTGTATATAAAGAAAATCGAAAATGAATCTGGATGTGAATGGAAGGGGAGAGGGAATGGGAAAGGGGAGGGTTGCGGGTGGGAGGGAAGTTATGGGGGGAAAGCCACTGTAATCCAAAAATTGTACTTTGGAAATTCATATTCAGTAAATAAAAGTTAAAAAAAAAAGAGTGGCAGGAGAACAACCACATTTCAAGTTACTAAGCAAGAGAGGAGCTGGTACGTTCCAAACACAAAGGAAAGACTACTTGCTTGGTTTGACAGTTTTACACTGCATATGTGTGTTGAAATATTACATTGTACATGATAAAAATCTACAAGTATGACACAGCATTAAAATTTTTAATAAAATAATTTAAGAAACAAGTTGTAAAGCAGATGACAGAGAACTCAAGAAAAACCATCCAAAGCTCATGGCAGAAGAGGGATCTGACTTGCAATTCAGAATTCCTTCCCAGAAAGGCTCACAGGTTAAAGCAAGACATCAGAGGCAGCATCTATATCCCTATCTGGCAACAGCACTTCCCCAGAGACCCTGGATATTTATTCTCTGGCAAGAGTCAAAGCCTTTCTGGACAGGAGGATAGAACAGGCATGGTTCTGGGGTCCAGAAGACAGTAGGAGACTTCTCCAAATAAATCTCACCAGCCTAGACGGAAAGTCAAAAAAAATTCCACTAAGGTTCCCCCTACAAGACAGTCCAGTTAGCTTACATTATTGTGCCATTCACCACTAGCAAGCCCCACCCATATTCTCAGAATTTTCAATCAGTATGTTATTGGACTAATCTTAAAGTGCTCAGGATTAACAGAATCAAGAGGTAGATGGAGACTAATCAAACAAGCAGAAACAAAACTTATGGAAACAGAAACCCTCAGAGGAAGAAGCAAATTTCAACAGAAAAAAATCAATCATTGCTAATATCCTTAGAGCTATCAACTATTGTATTATGAAATAAGAACTAGGTATCTCTGAATAAGAAATCAGAACTAGCTATTTTCTGAGAGAATAAAAATCTTGGAAATTACAAATACAATCACAGAAAAAAATCTATTAAAGGGTTTGAAGATAAATGGTAACTAAAAAACAGGAGAGAAAGGTTGAAAAATTAAGGAACAATTCTAAGAGCTAAGGAAACAAGATTTACAAAAAGAGAGAAAAAATCATGTGGATGGAAGAAAATCACCAAAAGTTCTATTCGAGAATTGAAGCATCTGAGTCTCTAGAGTGAAAAGGTTCAACAAGTTCCTTGCACAACGGATTTCAACAGACAGCACCAAGGCAAAAAACTGTAATGAGACAGAACACTGAGGACTAAGAAGACTCTTTTGATGTTCAAAGAGTAGAGGATGAAGAAAAAAAAAAAAAGAAAAAAACAGGCCATATACAAGATTAAGGAATTAAGATGACTTCAGACTTCTCACTAATATTAGATAATGAAACAATGTCTTTAGACTCTTGAAGGAAAATGAACTGTAGCCTAGAAATAATGCCAAACAAAATTCACTGAATGTGAAGTTAGAACTGGAATATTTTATTACATGCGAGATCTCATTTCGCTTCCCATGAACCTTTGCTCAGGAAGTCACTGGAGAATATGTTGCACCAAGAAAAAGAGAGAGCTTTGATAAAAGACATGAAACTTAGAATCTGACAATAGGTAAGAAGGGAGGGGAATCATCAGAATGGTGACAGGTGCAGATTCCAGATCCCAAGATGAAATCTGAACATCAGCCATGGAGAGCAAAAGTGTGGACTGCAGCAGATTAGCAAAAAGAAAGGAAGGTGAGACTGGGGTTAACATAGCAATGCAAACATAGAAAATCAAGCAAACACTCAGTGACAGGGATAAGTACACAAAAACCTAAGCAGTCAACTATTAATTTCAGGATAAATAAAAGAGTTGTGCATTGAAAGGAAAAATAATAGATATGATACAATACTAGTACTAACTGATAGAATAAAAAAGGGAGAGAAAAACCCAACATGGGAAGCAGGATACACAGCAGACTCATAGAAGGGCAGATGTCCTAAATAGCACTGTGGCCTCAGAATCAGCCCTTAAGGCATTCAGATCTGGCTGAAGAGCCCATGAGAGTATTTTAGGCATGGAAAGCCAAGACACTCTCTCACTGCAAGTTAAAAACATACATAAAAACACAAAAAAAAAAAAAAAGCCCTAAATGAAAGATCCCTGTGAGTGAGATCCCAGTAGAAAGAACGGGGCATCAAAGAAGGAGGTACCTTTCTCTGAAGGGAGGAGAGAACTTCCACTTTGACTATGACCTTTCCTAAATAAGATCGAAGTCAGCGAACTCAAAAGGCTTCCATAGCCTTGGCAACTCATGACAAGAGCCCAGGGAGATTACTGAAGCCATAAACAAGAGTGTCAAATTGTTAAATCAACAACAGGAGTCACTGTGTACTTACTCCTCATGTGGGATCTCTGTCCTTTATGTGTTGTCCAATGTGAATTAATGCTATTACTAGTACTGAAACAGTATTTTACACTTTATGTTCTGTGTGGGTGCAAACTGATGAAATCTTTATTTAATATATGCTAAACTGATCTTCTGTATATAAAGAGAATTGAAAATGAATCTTGATGTGAATGGAATGGGAGAGGGAGCGGGAGATGGGAGGGTTGTGGGTGAGAGGGAAGTTATGGGGGGGAGCCATTGTAATCCATAAGCTAAACTTTGGAAATTTATATTTACTAAATAAAAGTTAAAAAAAAAGAAAAAAAAGAAATTAGATTGTATATTCTAATTATGTGCCTACTAAAACTGGCACAACCAAAATTACAGTGGTGCTATGTTGAGAGTGAATGATTGGATTTCTGTGTATATGTAATAAGATGAGAGAAAGGAAAAGATCCTTTTTTAGATGTGGGGGCTAACAGATGATGTCTGAAATTCAAGAAATAGCAATACAAGCGTGCTATTTAGAGATACACAGGTAAATATTAAAAGAATCCATTTACATTATTGTAAGCAGCTGCTTCTATGGAAATGGAATGTATACATTGTTTTTAATTAAAATTTTAAAAAGTAAAAGGCATAATTTAGGAAAGTTGTAAGCTCAGATTTAGCCCAAGATCCCATGCCCCTTACATACGCAAAATAAAACACGAATGCTCAAAGTATCACTTTTTTTCGGGTAAGGTTCCCCACTCAGCTACTCTTGCTGCCCACACACCACTGCTGGGGAGTCCCACCCCTCCGCTGGCAGCCTCACACCTCCATATTACACCCCCAAAACTCCATGTGCATTCCCAGGTCTAGACTGGTTACACCAGGCCATTTGTCTCCACACACCAGCCCCAGCTGCAAATTTTACTGGCCACTTGAGGTTCTCTGATCTTTCTGTCCATACCATTGCTTTTGACAATATGGTGACAATTCATCGAACAGTATTCTTTTGTTTATGTAAATCATTGCATGCATGCCACATTTTGTGAAAAGGCTGAAAACTCTTTCATGGTCTCATGGTCTTCTGGGTTTCTACTTTCCACAGAGTGCATCCAGTGCTGGGGCAGTAGTAGTTACTCAACATGTGCTTCTTTTGTGAAATTACAACTGATGTTCATAACAGTAAAACTCAGGCATTATAACTTAATAAAGGTCTGGATGAGCAAATGAGAGTTGAACTACAGTTATAGTTTTAACTCTAATTTGCATTGTTTCTTTATATTTTATACTCTAAGTTTTTGACTCCAATATACTTTTCACTTCAATATATTTTTAAAATGATAATCCATTTAAGAACAAGTAAGGAAGGAATTTTTAGACATCTTCTTTAAGTCCTTTGTGCTAGGGCAGCCTCTTATTCTGAGAGATTTGAGTACTTGGATAATGAAAATAAACTTCTCATTAAAGGGACACAACAGTCCTCCCATGACCCCAGAAGGTCTGGTAACTCTCTCTCTATTTATCAAGCATATTCCTAAAGATCTAAATAATAATCAGAATGAACCCATGACAGACTTCACCTCCTGAGAGGGCAAATTAAAACACCACTGATTCCATGGGAACAGAAGGAAACCCTCAAATCTTACCTCACTAAGGCCTTCTCTTTCACAAAATGTCTGAGAAAAAAACACACATGTCATTGTTTCTTCCTTCTTTGTAAAAAGAATAAAGTCTTTTCCAATCCTCATGGACCCACTATATGAAAAATGAAGAACATAATGGTTTATATCTCAAACACTGAAAAAGAAGAAACAGGTAGGCATCCTATTATATACTGTAACAAATTATCCTTTTCAATAACCCCAACTTTGCTGATCTACCATGAAGAGGGCACAAGTAGTATTCTTATGCGTAAAGTGGAACAGACAATTTGGAATGGATCCAGCCCCACACTCCTGCTTTAGACATGGCTTCTGGAGACAAGGTTGCACCCAGGGCTCAAAAGAACAGCTGTCTGGTCCTACAAGGAGCCACACAGATGAACCACATGTCCTTGTTTTCCCTGAGGCAAACTACAAAAAATAAATAAATAAAAATAAAAACTAAAGACAAACCACCAAGCCTTAAATATGCTTTGAGAATTAAGACAGCATGGAGATGCAACTAAGTTGTTGAAGTCCACAAGCACTGCTTCAGCAATCCCTAAAAGACTTCTCTTCCTACCGTATGTGAGAATTAATTTTAAAATTTTGTAAAGATCCAAGTCAAGTCAGAAATGGGTAGTGGGGGAGGGGAGTGGTATGTAGAATTGTGGCACAGTTGGTAAAGCTGCTGCCTGCAAGGCAGGTGTCCCTGGTGGGCAACAGTTTTGTCCTGCCTGCTCACCTTCCTAAACAGCTCCCTGAAGATAGGAAGTAGAAGAAAAGAAGTGGGCCCCTGCCACTCACATGGCAAACCTGGCTTCAGCCTGGCCCAGCCCTGGCCATTGTGGCCATCTGAGGAGTAAACCAGCAGATGGAAGATCTCTCTCTCTCTCTCTCTCTCTCTCTCTCTCTCCCTTTCTCTCTCTCTGTCTCACTCTGACATTCATATAAATAAATAAATCTTTCCCAAAAAAGGCAGCCAATGTTGTAGCACAGCTGGTTAAGCTGCCTCCTGTGACACCTATATCCCATACAGAAAACAGTCTGGGTCCCAGCTGCTCCACTTCCCATCCACTTCCCTGCTAATGCAACTGGGAAAGCAACAGAAGATGGCCCAAGTGCTCTGGCTCCTGCAACCCATGTGGGAGACGCGGATGGAGCTCCACACTCCTGGCTTTGGCCTGGACCAGCCTCAGCCTTTGCAGCACATGGAGAGTAAAGGACAGGATAGGAGATTTCTCTCTCTCTTTCTCTCTCTCTGTCTCTCTTTCTCTGTCCTCTGCCTTTCAAATAAATACATTTTTTAAAAAAATGAGTATCAGGATGCAGAAAATATGAGAGGTCCTTTCCCCAAGTTCATATTTTTTAAAGCTTCACACAATTTAATCATTCTATTAAGACTGTCTTTAACTAAATATTGTTCTCAATAGAGATAAGATATGTGTTAAAAGGGGAAAAATACTCACCTTTTAAGACCATTGCCATACTGCCCAATGAACTTCATGGTAGACAACCGTTTCTTGGATGTTCCAAAGTATATGATGTCTGAAGCTTCTTCTGTAATTGACAGAGGCTTTTTAAATGATTGATTAGGGACAGTCTCTGACATCAGCCTGACGTCCACTCATCAAGACTTCACGTGTCTCAGGATATTAGGATAAGTCTACAGCTGTTACATTAGGTTATAGACAAGGAGTCTTGCCAGGTTCTACAATCTAAAGCATGATCTTTATGGTATTAAATTGAAGGTCAGAAGATGTAACCATGTGACCTTGGGTAGAATTTAAAACTCTGCACCTTGGGACTAGGGCGGTGGTGTAGCAGGGAAAGCCACTGCCTGTGACGCCAGCAATCCCATATGGGTGCCAGTTTGTGTCCTACCTGCTCCACTTCTGATCCAGCTCCCTGCTAATGTCCTGGAAAGAGCAGTAGAAGATGGCCCAAGTGTTTGGGGCCCTGTCACCCATATGGCAGACCCAGAAGAAGCTTCTGGCTTCTAGCTTTGGCCTGGCCTAGTGTTGGCTGTTGTGATCATCTAGGGAGTGAGGCCACAGACAGACAATCTCTGTCTCTGTCTCTCCCTCTCTATATATCTCTGACTTTCAAAACCAATCAATCAATCTTTAAAAAAGTAAAAAGAAAACCTCTAAGACTTAATTTTCTTCCCTCTAAAAGTAAATTACTGGGAATAGGCATTTATCCTAGTGACTAAGACACTTGTGTCCCACATCAGAATGCCTGGATTCAATTCCCAGTTCTGGGGCCTCATTCCAGCAACATAGACCTCAGAAGGCAGTGATGACAGCTCAAATAATTGGGTTCCTGCCATCCATACTGAAGAGCTCAACTGCACTCTCATCTCCTAGTTCTATCCCAGGCCCAGCCCCAGTCATTGCAAGCAATTGGGAGTGAAATGTGAATTTGCATGTTCTTCCTCTCCCTCTCCCTCTTCTTTTCCCTCTCCCTCAGCTTCTCCCTTGTGTATGTTGATCTGTCTGTCTCTCTGCCTCTCAAATGAATAGAAAATTATAATAATTGTTTTAAAAAACCCAAAGGGTACTATTAACATTTATTTAGTATCACAGAGTTCCTGATGGAGATAAACGAAACAAATTAAATGAGATGATAGAGTTGTGAAACTTTGAACTCTACTCTTGGCACCTGAAAAGCACTAGTGAATGGTTAAGTGTTACAAATATTTGCATCACAGACTCATAGAATGGCAGATGTCCTAAACAGCACTCTGGCCTCAGAAAAAGCCTTAAGGCATTCAGATCTGGCTGAAAAGCCCATGAGAGTATTTTAGGCATGGAAAGCCAAGACACTGTGGCAAAAAAAAAAAAAACAACAACCAACCACCTATATGAAAGATCTCTGTGAGTGAGATCTCGGTGGAAAGAACAGGTCATCAAAGAAGGAGGTACCTTTCTCTGAAGGGAGGAGAGAACTTCTACTTTGACTATGACTTTGTCTAAATATGATCAGAGTCAGCGAAATCAAAAGGCCTCCATAGCATTGGCAACTCATGACAAGAGCCTAGGGTGATTACTGAAGCCATAAACAAGAGTGTCAAATTGTTAAGTCAATAACAGGAGTCACTGTGCACTTACTCCCCATGTAGGATCTCTGTCCTTAATGTGCTATACATTGTGATTTAATGCTATAACTAGTACTCAAACAGTATTTTTCACTTTGTGTTTCTGTGTGGGTGCAAACTGTTGAAATCTTTACTTAATATATGCTAAATTGATCTTCTGTATATAAAGAGAATTGAAAATGAATCTTGATGTGAAAGGAAGGGGAGAGGGAGTGGGAGAGGGGAGGGTTGTGGGTGGGAGGGAAGTTATGGGGAGGGGAGCCACTGTAATCCAAAAATTGTACTTTGGAAATTTATATTCATTAAATAAAAGTTTAAAAAAACAAATATTTGCATCACTAATAATGTTTCTGTGAACCTGCCCTTATCTAGGTTCACGCTTCGAGAATAAACAGAGCAGAGACACAACTAAACTCCAAGAAGGGCAGAATGGCTTCCACTATAATACTACCTGGGGCAGAGGAGCTCATCATTTCAGTATGTCAGAGTCATTTTCTTGATCCCTCCAGCACAATCTGGAACTCTAGAGATTTATCTTCTAGACTTCAGAATATACTGAGCTATAGAAACAAAAATGTTCTTCTTGTTGGCCTACCTGAAGACACATTTTAGTATTGCCTGGAGAATTCTGTCAGTCTGGATATAGACATGTGACAGTGTAGTGGTACCTGGTACAGGGTATGTAAAAGTTATCAAACACCCTGCTTGTTTGAAGCTAATGACATTCCTTCACAAGTTCTTTTAATAGTTAGCCATTAGGTGAGGATATCTACAATGACAATATCAGATACCATTTACGGAATGATTGTTATGTGCCAGGTACTATGTTATATATGGGACCTGCACAGTCTATTTAACCTTCACAGCAAATCTACATGGAAGATATTATAATGATCTGCATATTATAGAGAAGGAAATTTAAAGAGTTCAGTAGTCTTCCCAAGGTTACACAGCTGATAAATGCTACAGCCAACAATTAAGCGAGAGCAGTAGGTCTGAATATGACTTGCTATAGTGTTGTGTCAAATCACAGGAACTTGCATACATGGCTGTCAGTTCTCTGGGCACAATGATAGAATGCTGCCCAGGCCAGTCATGACCTCTGCGTTCAACAATGTTATTGTAATGGTAGAAGAAACAGAGTATAAGCAATAGACAAATAAATACGACTATTTCTGAGTATTAAGTGATGAAAACAAAATCAAGGTGATGTGATACAAGATGAACAGGAGCATGGCTTTCAGACACAATGAATATGGAAAGTCACAACTAGAAGGCTGGCATCTGAGCTGAGATTCAAATGATGAGGTATAAGCCAGGTGGGGATGGAGTTAGTCAAAAGCAAAGAAGTGTGTAACATGAGAAAAAGTCAAAGAGGTGGACGCAGCCAAATCATGCAAGAGCTTGGAAGCAATGCAGGGCAATATGAATTCTATTATTAAGCAGTGGAAAACCACCGAAGTGATTTTCAGCAAGACAATGATGAGATTTACATTAAAAGAAAAAAAATTACACAAAATACTGTGTGAGAAATGGATAGTACTGAAACAAGACTAGAGGGTAGGAAAAAAAGAAAAGAAAACTTGGAAATGACCACAGCCATCTTGCAAGGGTCAAGACTGATCTAGCTCAATTTGGACAAGAGATTCTATTTCCAGGAACCAGTCTGCTGTCGAATTTATTACTTGATTTCCAATGCTAATTGAGAACTGCTCTCACAGCCAGTGTGCTTTTTTATGGATACTTCTATATGTCTCAAGTGAAGTGTGAGTTCTTTCTGAAGATCTGAATATTCATCACTTGCCTGTGTTTTGATCATTTTGTTCATGACCCATATAAAAGGACTTGCTTCTTTTTACAAGGAATTCCCTTAGAATATATCACATGTATTCTGTCATTTATTTTAAGAAGTTAGTAAAATGAACTTAACAGTTACTCTGTGAAAAATGAGATTATTTTTTCAGCATGTTTTTCATACTCTATTCTTTCTCATATTTAAATATTGACAAACCACTAACATTTTAAGCAAAATTACCTTGAAAAACCAAAATTATGCAACTTAGTAGGTAGCTTTGCCTAGCATTTTTTAAAGTTGTTAATAAATATTCCTTGGGGTTGGTATTATGGCACAGAAAGTTAAGCCACCACCTGCAATGCTGGCATCCCATAGCAGAGGGCCAGCTGGGGTCCCAGCTGCTCCATTTCCCATCCATCTCTCTGTTGATGCACTTGCGACTGCAGAAGAAAATGATCCAAGTATTTGGGACCCTGCCACCCGATGTGGTAGAACCAGATAGTTTCAGGCTCCTGACTTTGGTCTGCCCCAGCCTTGGCTATCAGCAATTTGGGGAAGTGAATCAGTTCCTCTCTCTGTCTCTCCCTCTCTGTCTCCATCACTCTGTCTTTCAAAGAAAAAGAATCAATATTTTAAAAATAAATAAATATTATTTAAATCCTCAGACTACAGGTGTAGACGACACTTCTTGACTTTGCCGTCTCAGTTGGTGTCAGCACTAATGATCATCTTTTACTTGGGTGTGGAACATTCCAGAACAGTTCAGTATTACTTGAACACCCTCAGCATTTTTTAAATGCAGTAGTCAAAATGTCTAGCTTGTAGAACATAAAGTATTACAAGAATTTAGGAATACAATGCCTACAACAACTCGAAGCTCATATCAGAGGAAGTAGCATTTCGATTCCACAGCACACAGAAATTGTGCACCTATTGTGTGCTGGCTTTGTGTTAACCTTGAATGCACAAAGGTAAGTCATGCAATATATTGTAGATGTCATATTCATTATGGTGCGAACATTCATTTGAAGCAATAAGCCTTTGAACATGTGGGGAGAAAAAAACACACAAAAACTTCTGAAAACAAGGAAAGGCGACCTCTGCCTCAAGGTTATGCAGAAAATTAAAAACAGCTTAAGGCAATGGAAACTGCCTCAGGGCTCTCACAAGCAATGCAGAAAGGACGGGACTGAAATAATCTTGGAATCCACTCAGCTACTATGTGCTTCCCCACCATTCCCAGATGCTTTGTCCTTACAATCAGTAGCATTTGCCTTTCGTTTTCTAGGAGTATTTATTTAAGTTCAATTTTTTTTCTGGTATATATGGCTAGAATGCATTTACTCTGCTTGCTGACATGTTTAAACCTAAAAAGTTCAACAGTAAATTAAGTCTGAAGTTTATTTCCCTGAATAGCTCCACACCTGTGTTCACGTAGATAGCTCCATTTATTTTTATTTATTTTATGGGTTTTCAGAATACTTTTTTAAACAGCCAGTTAGGTAGCTAGATAATTAACTTACCAGGGCTCATGCCACATCCATCATCCAGGAAGCACAGCATGAATCCACCCTGCAGTTTTTCATTATCCACTGTAAGAGAAAGCAGTTATTACTAATAAATATTGGGTTTAATTTGTTCATCAGAAAGTCATGCTGCTCACATAATTATTCGTCCTTCTCAAATGTGGCCACAGAGTGACAGAGTTATGGCACAATGATGGGGCTCAGAATGGAGTTTTGGCTACAGATTCAGAAGAAACTGCAGGGGGAAAACAATCATGCAACACAAAGGTTTAATTCACACAAAACACCAACACATTAATAAACTGCATATACAGCAAGATATGGCTTGCCCTAGGAACTGGATTGCTCCTTTGAACTCCAGCGATTTCTCCTTCAGGGAAGGCAAAACGTAGGTGGTGATGTGACCCCAGCTTCCCCCATCACACTGATCAGCCTTCATGCCCTTCCACCAAAGTAGTAATTCTAAAATAAATCTAGGCCATTCTTAGATTCATCAGGCTCCCCTCGAAGCAGTTAATTCCCGTAAGAGCCATTTGTGGTGGCAAATATTTGCCTCTTGAAGCAGGAGTTGATTTTTTTAAATGGCTAAGTTAGTTAGAAATAATTTTGATGATTAAGAGATATCATCAAATTATATAATATAGTCCCTGGCTGTTAAAAATGGTAAAGGTGTGAGTAAAACTAATGAAACTAATTTTAGAGCAGTTTGTAAACTTGTTCTAAAAACAATTTCAACAACTGGATATGTGAGTTCCATCACATTTCTCTTTATAAATAATAATGTTATCAAGGAATAATTTATTCACAATAAACTGTGCATGTTTAAAGTGTATAATTTCAGGGCCAGTGTTGTGGCATAGAGGTAAAGCTGCCACCTGCGAGGCCAGCATCTCATATGGGTGCCAGTTCGATCTCCAGCTGTTCCACTTCTCATTCCTGCTAACATGCCTAGGAAAGCAGTGGACGACGGCCCATGTACTTGGGCCCCTGCACACATATCAGAGTCCCAGAAGAAGCTCCTGGTTCCCGGCTTGGGCCTGGCCCAGCCCTGGTCAATGAGGTCAATTGGGGAGTTAACCGGCAGATGGAAGACCTCCCTCTCTCTGCCTTTCAAATAAATAAAATAAATCTTAAAAAAAATTAAAGTGTACAGTTTCATAAAATTATCATACACATGTGTATATATCCCATCACTACAATCAAGACAATGAACAAATCCATTACCCCAAATGTTTCCCCTGACCCTCTGTAACCCCTCCTTCCATGCCCTATCCCTCTACCTCTTCCCCAGGCAATCACTGATCTGCTTCATCCCTATAAATTTTTTTCTAGTACATTTGTTAAGTCAACCTCTGTGTTGAAAGACCCCCTAGAATTCACACTGAAGAATTAAATAATGTCCAAAATAGTCCACATACAAATATATAAAAGATACAACTGATCTTAATGGGTTCACAATTTTATGGTCATGTGCTTACTCCAAAAACTTCTTAATGGTTACCCCAGTGTCATTTAAGATTGGGAACCCCTTGATCCAAGACCAGAGTCAGCCTTGGGCAGCTTTGCACAGTACCTACAGCTGATGTTGAAGTTCTTGCCACAGACTTCTCTTGGAAGCAGTGTTCAGAAGAAGGGCATTCTTTAAGTGACTATCTGGGAAAGACTCAGGATACTGTAGCACCTGCTTTTTAGGTAAATCTTCATCAGGGATTGGGGTCAAACAAGTATAGCCTCACATTTTAATATTTCCTATTCGCTACCTGGAAACTTGTCCTTTTCTAGTTCAATTTCAGATGGATTGCTACCATTGCTTAATTATGTAAATCCAAAATGAAATCCACACTTTTCTTTCGTCATATTTCCTTCTCCTTTTAGTGCTGTCTGTTCAATAAATGGCATTAGCCTGCCAGGAGGGTTTGGCTCCTCAAGATGAGACCTCTACCTCATGAAGTTCTCCGTCTCCTCATCCCACAAACACGCAACTCTGTTCTTCTCGATTCCACCTCATTAATGGCTCTCTAACGTGCCCACTTCCTCTATTCCCTCTACACTGTCTTAGTCCCACATTATAGCAACAACTTCCCAACTTCCTGCTCTCCCTAAAATGAAAGGGAACCACCAGTCTACAGTCCAATGTGCATTCCACTATCCTCCTGCTTAAAACACTCCCATGACTCCACACTGCTCTTATGATAAAATCCAAGCGCTTAACAAATCTTACTTGCCCTTCATGACCTAATCCTCTTACCTCTCCAAACTCACCTCCTGTCAGTCTTATACAAATATTCCCCTTGAACTAATCTTGAACATTTCAAACACTTTTCCTATCTTCTTTTCAAATTAAAGCCATGGCACACATGGCACTTCACTTTTCCCATGCATTCACCAGGCGAATGCCTATTTTCCCTCTCTATTAGTTCATATAGCACTTCTAGGAAGGCTTCATATTCTTTCACATCATTAGATGCTCTTAATGAATGATCTCTCTTTAATCTATTTTACCACCTTCATAGAATATTGAGACACTTGAACCAATTGATGTACCTATTTCCTGTTCAGACCAATGGTTATTACATTCTTAAAAAATTTATCTGAAAAGCAGAGAGAGAAGACTTACCCACTGGATTGATTACTCTCCAAATTTCCCACAACCTTAGGTCACAGTCAGTTTGAAAGCTATGGGCTGGTAATTAAACCCAGATCTCTTATGTGGGTGTCAGGAACCCAATTACTTGAGCCATCACCACTGCCTCCCAGGGTATGCATTAACAGGAAGCTGGAGTCAGGAGCTGGAGGCAGGTATGAAACCCAAGCATTTCAACATGGGACTTGGGTATCCTAATGACAGTATGACTATGAAATCAAATGCCTGCTCCCTTGATTTTTTGGAACAGTTATTTCATGGGTAGAACAAATGGTATAAGCTCTCTACTCACATATACATACAACATTTTCCATGGACCACTAGAAAAGGATGCCAATTCCTTAAAAATGGCTATTGTATATATACTCAGCACTACATCTAGTGCCTGGCACATGGTAACCACTTAAAAATGTATTGAATGTATATCAATATCTACTGGAATGAATATACACTGATGTACAGGAGATCATAGTGAAGCATATTTACTTTGAGTTATACTGCCATCAAATTACTTGAAGGAAACTTAAGTTTGGTGAGTAATTCAGGTATACAGTAAATAATCTGAAAACTAGTACAATTTTAGATTAACCATGCATTTCCAGAACAATTCTACTTATTGGTGTATAAGCACTGGCTCCAGCTGTTATTCTTTTCTTCCTGAGAAAAATCAATTTGCTAGGCTGATAGCCATATGTTGGTTCACTGCAATAAAAAAATGTTATAATGTGAATAGGTAATTTACAACCAAAAACCATAAGATCAGTTTTTCACAAAATATGTGTAACTCAGAGAAAGTAGGGGCACTTTCATCTCAAACTGGCCAAGATCCTGTTGTGTTTGTTTATGATAATGGCAGGTGTTGGGAAAAGTGGGGTGAAATGAGCACTCTCATGCTCTGTGGTATCACATACCCAGAAGAACATAGAATCTGTATTCTGATTGCATTTGCTGTACTTTGTGATTCTGGATAAATCTTCTCAGCCCTTCATCAATAGTACATGTACTCTGAATGAAATGAACCTTACACTATTCTTCTTGCTCGATTTTTAGGACCATTTCCCTGGTTCTAATTATTACAATATCTTGCTGAGGTAATTTCCATGCCACACCTTCCTACTACCTCTGTTTTCATACTTCTTCAGACTGTCTTATGTGCTATTCCTGGGAAATCTTTCTTTAAAAAAAAAAAAAAGTGGAAAAGGAGGACAGGCATTTGACTGTATCCCATCTGGGAATGCCTGGGCTCATGGCCCAGCTCCTACTCCGAACTCCAGCTTCCTGCTAACGCACACCCTGGAAGGCAGCAATGATGGCTCAAGTACTTAGATCCCTGCCACTTATGTGGGAGACCTAGACTGAGTTTCTGGATCTCTGCTTCAGCCTGACCTGGCCCTACCTATTGCAGGCATCTGGAGAGCGAACCAGTAAATGGAAGATTTCTCTTTCTTTCTCTCTCAAGATAAACAAATAAGTAAAAAGTTATACTATGGCCCAAATGTTTAAAAAAGGAAAAACAGTATATCTACTTAGGGGAATGACACTGCTCCAAATTCTTCAATTGTCCAAGGAAAAGCCAGAGTGCAATATTCAACACATTCATCCATGTAGCTCTAATATTTTAGTCAATCCAGCTCATCATTGTTCTCTGAATGCTTTTTCTTCAATTATTTAATGGATCACTCCCTCATATCAATCTGATCTTCGCTGGTCTATCACCTATTCAGAAAAATCTTCCCAGATCACGCTGTGAAAAACTACATACCATTGCTTTCACTCTCAGCTGTCTAATCTTGCTTTATTTTTCCCTCTTCAGTACCTACTGTTGCCCAGTATATTATTTGTTCATTTCTTTATTGTCCATCTCTCCCCACTAGAATGCAAGTTCCATGAGAACACATTTTGTTCAATGCTCTTATCCGCTGCACCTATAACAGCAGGCACTTAATAAACTGATCACCACTCTTTTTTCTCATAATTCTTTGGTCAAGAGTATTCTTTTCTTCTTAGACTATCTGACCAAAAATCTCACCCATACTTCAAGTTCTAGCTCCTTAACATGAGTCATAATTTCTCCTTTCTCTGTATCTCCACCATTCTTTGAGTCTCTTTAAAGGTGTACAGAAGATCCAGATTTAGAGTTGTTCGGCTTGGTTTTCTGCCTTTATGATGGTGTGAAAACAGCACACATTCAGTAGAACAGCACACTTCAAATTTTGAATTTTTATCTTTTCCTGGGATAATGGCATATTTTACCATAGAGAGACAGAGACAGAGACACACACACACACACACACACACAGAGAGAGAGAGAGAATGCTGGAAGCCACAGCTCCCAGGCAGCCACAAGATCATAAGGGTAAACACCTGACCCCCTGCGATGCACTCAGTCGCTAAACTAGGATGTTCTCCTAGGGTATTTTCAATTTAGGATGGGGATACTGGGACATAACTCCATCAGAAGCTGAGAAATCTCTGTAGCTGGACATGTAAGCGAGACCATGTTTTCTCCACCACTAACACTGTTGTGCCCTTTCACTCACTTTTCCCCTGTGAAGGTAAATCCACTCACCACACTGTTATCTTAGGGATTAATAAACAAGGAGGGCAGATGCTTCGCTTTCCTCTTGGCATTGAGCTGCCTGCAGAGAGCATGGGATTTGCTCTCCTCTCTCCAGGGCAGGCCAGTTTTGAGAGGAAGCTGACTCCACAGCAGCATGGGCCTGGTCCCAGGGTTTGATCCCCAAGCCCATTTGTTCTCTCACACTAACCTACATACTGCAACTGAACTTCCTCCCATTTATCAGCAACAAGGGCTGACTCTTTTGTTCATTTCTCAAACTTTTGAGAACTTGGAGAGTAGAGGAGGGAAAATAGTGTCATTTATTGTTTCCTCAGGTATCTCAAAACATCCATATCTGTCTTCCTCATGAGCCATAAACACTCAACTCTAAGAAAACTCAAGTGAACTGAGCTGTTTTTTAAATATAGACAGGAGATTTTCATCAGGAACCCTATCCTCTCGCCTGTGACCGACAGCAAGTATTACAAAAACAGCTAGCATGGCTGGCGCCACGGCTCACTAGGCTAATCCTCTGCCTGCGGTGCCAGCACCCTGGGTTCTAGTCCCGGTTGGGGCGCCGGTCCTGTCCCGGTTTCTCCTCTTCCAGTCTAGCTCTCTGCTGTGGCCCGGAAGGGCAGTGGAGGATGGCCCAGGTGCTTGGGCCCTGCACCCGCATGGGAGACTAGAAAGAAGCACCTGGCTCCTGGCTTCAGATCGGCGCAGCGCCGGCCGTAGCGGCCATTTGGGGGGTGAACCAATGGAAGGAAGACCTTTCTCTCTGTCTCTCTCTCTCTCACTGTCTAACTCTGCCTGTCAAAAAAAAAAAAAAAAAAAAAGAAAAGAAAAGAAAAGAAAAGAAAAAAACAGCTGGCAGAATTGGAGTAGGAAGTAGTGCTACACCATGGATACTTCTCTAGGTAGTGTTAACTAAATGAGGGGCTAAATCAGATAACCTAATTTCATTAGCATTATATTCTATTGCAATTAACCAACAAGTGCAAAAAGCACTTGGTGACTACAAGTAAAGTCAATGAGGAAAACATATTTGGTGTGAATGTTATAGCCCTCAAACATTCATAGTCCATATTCATTTATGCATTTCAAAATTGTGCAAAGTTGGAAATGAGGTATGCTGGACTATGAATAACCATTAAATTAATATACCATTAAAAATAAAACTGTTTCTAGTGGCAGACAAATTTACTGTTCCAAAATCATTCTGATGCTTTCACAAAACTCTGGAAGACCTAATTTTGTAAATGAGTCCTCTAACAAGTGAACAATTTGACTTCCAGAGTGTATTTTTCTCATGGCTCCCCATAGGGTACTACACTCACAAAGCACTTAGATTACATTAAAAATCTATAGAATGTGGTTTGATTTCATGAAATAAAATAAAAGCAAAATAACTACAGGCTTTTCCATTAGATGAAAAAGAGAAGAAAGTAAATCCACTCACCTGAAAACACATCAAGTCTTGCAGCCCCTGCATCTCTGGAAACAATACAAAAAAATCATTGCTTCAATATGAAATTATGTTTTTAAAAATTACACTCATCTGAACTGCTCATGTGAAGTAGTAACCTATTGTCAGATATCAAACAATGCAAAAATTCACTTAAATTGCTTTAAAATCAATTACTAAAATTATTCACTGTTGCATTTATATATTAAGAACTATGATGACTTATAATTTTACAATATTACAAAGCCTGAAATTCAGAAATTCAAAAGAAGAGATAGAACTTAGTGGTAGTTACACAAAAAGTTCCACAAGATGAATATCAATACTGTTTTTTTAAAATGGCTGGAGAAAAAAAAATCTAAAATCAGAAGTTACAGAATGATTTTCATCACATATTTTAGTCCAAAGAAGTGAAAAGAAAAAGCAAATTACTATATAATATGTACTGTATACTCATATTTTTAAGAACATATTTGAATATGATACACAGAGACATATCTAGAGATAAAGAAACCAAAATGTTAACAGTGGTTTTCTGTAGGTCAAAGGCTGGTACACTGATCTATTGATCAAATCTGCTCTAATAATTGTTTTGTATCTAAAGATTTATGGAAATACAATTATGGCCATGTATTTACATACTGTCTATGGATGCCTTAGCACTATAATGGCAGGGGTGAGTAGTTTCAATAGAGACCACATGGCCCATACAAGTGAAAAAACTATTTGTGTTTTACAGAAAAGTGTGCTCATCCCTGCATTATGTAATGAAATTGCTAATAATATTTTTTGTTTATTTTCTAACACACTATTTTTAGATTTAAAAAAAATTCTAAAAGTAATAATTTAAAACAGAAAAGGAGGCACAATATTCTGACCACAATATCCTGGGGAGACAGAAGGAAAAAGACAATGAGGAATGAGGTTTTAACTAACAAGGAGGAAGTTTCACTAAGGGAAGGAGGATTCCGAAAGGATGCTCAGTACATTAAGAACAACCACTGCTCTGATGAGGAAACACGTCTCTCCCCAAAATTCCCTCAGTCCCAACCCAAGACCACCCATGTAAATCAAAATAGATAAAGAATCAGGGGGAGATTCCAAGATGGCGGAGTAGGGAAGGAGCTTACTGCTCTGGTCTAGGAGAGGATGGCATAAAAAAAGTAGAGAGAGTGCAGCCTCAGGGAACAGTTACGGAGAAAATGGCAGAGGAAACGCTATGCAAATTAGAGGAACACAGTGGACCTTTGTGGAGGGCGGGCACACCCGCAGCTCAAGACTCCAGCAGCCAAGAGCTTTCCTACCATCCTGGGAGGAGGGAAAAAAATGCATCAACAAGGAAACCATTACAGATGGCCTGTAAGCGGGCTGAGGTCCACGGCTCCTGAGTGTCCTATGAACGCTGTGGGGCAGAACGTGGGTCTGCCCCTTACTCTGCCTGCTGCAGCCCTCTGGTTCTTGTCCTTGCTCAGCTGTGACTGGAGCCAATGCAGACATGCTGTTTTCCTCAGCTGGCAGCTGCTGCCTGCATCACCTGACTGTAGTTGATTTTCGACCTGGTATTTGAGAAGATGAAAGTCAAAAGATGTTGTGTCTAAACATCCAATCTCTACTAATATTGACTTTGTGTATACTTCCTAAAACAGGTGGCGTTTATTTTGAAAAGAGACTATGCTAAGTACGAGATAAAGTTCAAGATCAAAGTGTTTCCAGGGAGAAGAAGAATGACCTTCCTGGTTAAAGTGGCTTTAAAATCTAGACAGACTGCAAACCAAAGACAAGCAATGAACTTCTGGGTGGCATGCAAACCTCTAGCAAAACAGGACCAGAAAGGCAACCTTACAGCCAACCTTGGTCAAGATCGCACAGCTCCCAGCTGATGGAGCATGGGCAGGATGAGGTTCTCCACTTCGTCTACAGGAACATACCTGCTGACTCCCAAGGTCCTAGGGCAGAAAGAGGCCTGCCCTGACTCCACAGATGCAAGAGGGAAATAGTATTGTGGACCTTGCATGCAGCTTCTTGAGCCCCATTCACTGGGGACTCGTACCATGGAGAGCACTGGGTCAGGCACTGGGTAACTGGAGGTATAAGGAGGACCTAAGGATATGTAATATACAGGTCCTGCTGTGAAAGAGCTTGTAGAAGAATAAATGCATTTTCGGGGCCGGCACTGTGGCGTAGTGGGCTAAGCCTCCACTTGAGGCGCCAGCATCCCATATGGGTGCTGATTCAAGTCCCGGCTGCTCCACTTCCAATCCAGCTCTTTGCTATGGCCTGCGAAAGCAGTGGAAGATGGCTCAAATCCTTGGGCCCCTGCACCCGTGTGGGAGACCCAGGAGGAGCTCCTGGCTCCTGGCTTCAGATCAGTCCAGCTCCAGCCGCTGCACTCATTTGGGGAGTAAACTACTGGATGGAAGAGCTGTCTCTCCCTCTCTCTGTAACTCTACCTCTTAAATAAATAAATAAAATCTTAAAAAAAAAAATATGCATCTCACAAAGACTGTGAATGCCCACTGCATGCTGGTGTTGCAGGCAGCAGGGTTCTTTCCTCCATACACACACACACACACACACAGACAAAAAAAAAAAAAAAAAAGAATACATGGTACGTGCTCCATAAGCCTCATAGCTCTTCCTTCAGTCAACTGCTGCTTCTAAGCACTCTCTATATATAGAAATTCTGGAATTACCACTGCCATTTCTTGACCATTTCCCATATGTCAAATAAACACTGAATGAGTGTTTTTGAAAATCCTCTTCTAATCTTTACCACAGTTGCTTGACTCATAGGTATCCACAGCTCCATTATACAATCATACATTTTCAGAAAGAACCATGTTCACAAAGGTGCTCAGTAAATGCCACAGTACTGAAATGGAAGCTTTTAAAGAAACACTTTCTTCATATAGACCTTCAATAATTGTTAATGCATAAGATAATAACTTACCTTCACAGTATATGAAGACCTTTTTTAATAACCTTTACACTTTAGTCCACGATGCTTTCACTCTGAATAGGTGCCGTATGAGGAGGTGGCTCCTGCCATCCCTTCATACACCATATTTTTTTCTCCCCCTCTACAGTCTTCCAATATACTTCAACTATGATTTTCATTGAAACTTGAATATAATGACCTAAAATAATTTCTTAGGATAACAAGGACTTCATAAAGACCTCCCTCTTGGGACCATCTGAGCATCATGAGTAAGCTTACTAGATAGCTAAATGTGATGGCAAATACTGATCCAACCAGTGGTGGAGAATTCACAAGTTCCACAAAGGCAGAGGATCTGAGCAGTTCAGTCTGTCTATCAGAGTACACTGGAAATGGAGCAAAGTGAAAGGCACGGGCTGGTCCCAAGAAAGCACCTGCTATTCAACTCCAGCCCTTGATGCCCTGGCGTAATGTGGCCTTGAGGTAGCTACTTCCCCTAGTCTTTCAAGGAAAGCAGGAGACCCAGATTTTCAAAGGTGGCTTTTCCTATTTCTTATATGTTACAAACAATTTCGTTTTTTCATCCTGTTTATAAACACTGTGTAAACTTCCTCTGTGAGCCAAGGAAATATGAGTCGAACTAGACCAGGTCAAGGGGCTGCCAGTTTCTGAATGTGACTCCAAGAACTCTTTTATTGATTACATTTCTTGCACTCCCATGAGTCTGAAGCAAATTGTTCTTTCTCAGTCACCTAGTCACCCTCTGTTACATAAACTGTCTCCATGGTTCTATTTCTTATACATTCTGATTTTCCCAGCCCTCTTTGTGGAATAAATTTATGAAACAACTTCAGAGGAGAAAAATCAGCTGCCAAAACAGACGAATGTGTTCTTTTCAGTTACAGATGTCAAGTGGATGAGGCAGGACTACTGGATATAGGAAGAGCCTTACTTTACTGCCTTTAGCAGAAACAACAGTAGCAATGCTGAACTCCTGCAGAGACACTAACCAGGTACATCTGTCCTGGCCCCATACCTCCTAGTTCCTTCTAAGCTGACCTCTTTGCTCTCCTAACCAGCTAAGACAACCTTTTTTTTTTTTTTTAACTTTTTTTTTCCACAGGCAGAGTGGACAGTGAGAAAGAGAGAGACAGAGAGAAAGGTCTTCCTTTGCCGTTGGTTCACCCTCCAATGGCCGCCGCGGCCTGCGCGCTGCGGCCAGCACACTGCGTTGATCCGAAGGCAGGAGTCAGGTGCTTCTCCTGGTCTCCCATGGGGTGCAGGGCCCAAGCACTTGGGCCATCCTCCACTGCACTCCCAGGCCACAGCAGAGAGCTGGCCTGGAAGAGGGGCAACCGGGACAGAATCTGGCGCCCCGACTGGGACTAGAACCCGGTATGCCGGCGCCGCTAGTTGGAGGATTAGCCTAGTGAGCTGCAGCGCCGGCCTCTTTTCTCTTCTTCTCTCCCTCTCCATGACTCACTAGTTGGACAGAAAGTTTCATAAGAAGGAGGAGCTAATGACTTTTTGCTTAGAGTTGAACACAATGCTGAGCAGGACTAATACAGGTCCCTGATGTAATAATTGCACACTATTTCATGAGTGGACTTTGGTTTCTGTAGAAAAGCTAGGAAAAAGCCTTCATTTACAAGGAAACACATATATAAAACAAGTTAAATGCTGTATTCAATTTAGCTAAAAATTGAATTACTCACAAGTCCCTACAAATACACTACTAAGTGGATCCTTAGTTGTTAAAGTGGTTCGTTGAACATCAATACATTTATCAGAGACAGTAAACTGGGATAGTAAGGTTTTATAGCCACACAGCACAAATTTGAATTCTAACTGCCAAATATTAATTGTGTGACCATGGATATACCATGTAATATCTCTATCAACTTCCACATATGTAGAAGTAGGAAAATTACTTGTACCTTAAAGTGTTGTGATAAGGATAATACTTAATACTCACATATGGAGTGCTAAGCTATGTGTGATACACAGTAGATCAACAGTTATCTATTTGCTTCTTACCTATACAATTCCCATCAATGAGACTTCATTTAGAAACAGTTTTTTTGTGTGCAAATTGTTTAACTCTACTTAGTTAGTCTTCTGTGTATAAAGTTAATTGAAAATGGATCTTAGTGGATAATGGGACTGGGAGTGGGAGGAGGAGGAGGAGTAGGGGTGGGAGTGTGGTTGGGAGGGAGGGTATGGTAGGAAGAATCACTATATCCCTAAAGTTGTACTTTGTTGTGAAATGCATGAAGTTTGTATTTCTTAAAAGGTTTCTTTGGGGAAAAATAAAAATAAAATAAAATATTCTCCTTAGACAGCAAAGGAAGATTTCATTAAATGCACAAACCTAACTGTAAATTCGCCAAAGTGCATATCAATATATAATTTAGAAAACATTTAAATGACTATCAGCTATTACATTATCATTAACAGCAAAACAGATCCAATTTACCTGCCCTTCAAGTCTTACCATAAATACAAATGAAAGAAAGGTGAGTAATTCCACCTCTCCAGTTCTTTTTCTTGTAATACTTGGGTTTAATAGCCAATCAAGTCACAAAACATTCTAAATGGGGGAGAAATGACGTTACCTTTTTATCTACAAGTACAGTCGACTAGATTTATGCCATGAAATTCCCTCAGAACTGTTGTTCACAGAAACTTTACCTTGCATTGTCCAGCAGCTCAGCCAGTGCTCCAAAAAGGAAACTGTGAGTGGTGCTGATGAGTAAATAAAGGGAAAACATAAAGTTAAGCCAAGCATGTCATCAGTGTAAACAGTTCAAGATACTTGTAGACAAATGTTCTCCAGTTCTGGACAGATAATCAATTAAGAAGCTATTCTAGAAACAACTTGCTCAGCACAGTCAAGATTCTGAATTAGATGTTCTCCACTACAACACTAGGATAAGAAGACATTTGCCAAAATATCCTGTCCACTCCTAATAAAATAAAGACTTCAAGGGCTTTACCATCAAAGCAAACTCTCACCTCTTAAGATCACTTTATAAGTAACATGCAATTATTTTTTTTCAAAGAATTTCTCATTAAAATCATATTATTTAAGGCTAATTTATCTATAAAGAACATGGATCAAAATCCGTTTGCCACTGGAAACGAGGCTCCACCTGTAGACACAGGACCTAGCTGGGGGCCTCTGTTTGCCCACAAATCTGTATTTTCCCACAGCATCTTTCCACCTTTGAAAAACCTGCTCCTCAAATAACCACATGGATTCCCTGTGTCCACTCTCTTCTGTAACCCTTAATGTCAAGTTGCTGAACACAACACTCCAGACAGCCTTCACAACTCACAGCACTCTGAGGGCTGAATGGTTTTCTGGGTGAGATCAGGCTGCCATCAGGGTCCTGTGCTTGCTTTTCATTTCTTGATGTGGCTGTTTCAATCTCCCACTTTATCACAGCAATAAGGGAAGATTCAGTATGCAATTTTCTTTTCATATTTAGTAAACAGGTAACAGAAGCAAGAAAGACTTATTTATCCAACATATCTTCTCATTGGTACAAAAGAAAGTATCATCTTCAGTGTCTCAGAGTCCAGATACCTCAAGCCACAAGACATCACTCAGTTCATAATTTTTCACATACACACACACACACACACACAAACGTGTCCATTATATTGGAATTTTAAAATTCAGACACAAATACTGATCAAAGTTCTCCTTAGTCAAATTAGCTTTAAAGCTTGTAATGAAAAAGTAGAATACTATTGTGTTAAAGAGGTCTTTCAATCAAAAGAAAATATAAAACCCTAAAATAAGTATAAATTATATGCTTTACATTTTCATTTTTGAAATTTATTTACTTATTTGAGAAGCTATCAGAGAGAGCTCCTATCCACTGGTTCACTCCCCAAATGCCATCAACTGCTGGGGATAAAACAGGTTGAAATCAGAAAACAGGAACTCACTAAGAGTTTCACAGGTAAGTGGCAAGGACTCAAGAGGCAGGCTATCATCCGCTGCTTCCCAAGGTGTACATTAGCAGGAAGCTGGAAATAAAGCAGAGCTGGGACTTGAACCCAGGCACGATAACATGAGATGGAGTCATCTCAAGTGGCATTCTTAATTGCTATGCCAAATGCCTGCCCCAAAATCAGCACTTTAAAACATAGGTTCTGCTAGTGGATTTTAAATACATCAGTCAGGGTACAGAAATTCAATATATAAATAATCCTTCAGGAAAGTAATTGAAATAAAAATAATTCTAACAATGCCATCAGAGGCACATTCAAGAGATTTTTTTTACTGGCTGCCTAACAAGTCCCAGTACATACGCACTGGGACTGAGCCCTACTTTGGAGCTCAGTCTGGTGTTGTAAATGACCACACACAAGTTATCAAGCACAGAATGATGGCATGGCAAATTGGGTGATCAGCAGCTGAAGTCATAGTGTGATGGGAAAGAGTAGCTGGTCAGGAGGAGCACCAAGGTCAGGGAAAACATCTTGGAGTCTGGATGCCTCAATGAAGCCCTGAGGGATAGAACTGAGTTTCTTACAGAGCCAAAATAGAAACTTTCCATCAAGACTCTGAAGCAGAAAAGATCTAAGGAAATCGCTGTGCTCAGCTTATGTACCATGGGGGGAACAGGTGAGGTAAGGAGGGCGTGGCTGGGTCACACAGGTTTCCCACCCTGTGGTGAGGAGCTCAATCAGCCCTGTATATACATGAGTTCCACACATTTGTACATTCAGCCAACCAGGGCTTGAAAATATTTGGGGGAAAAAATTATGAAAAGTTTCCCAGAAAGCAAAATTTGTTTGCCACATGCTGTGAACTATGCTGATCCAAGTGAAGGAAGTGGTGTGCAGGCCCAGTAAATAATCCACAGATGACTCAAAGTGGAAGTTCTACACAACTATCACATCACATTATCTAAGGGACTTCAATATCTAGGGTTCTGGTATCCACAGAGGTGCTAGAACCAATCCTTGGAAGATACCAGGGGGAATGACTTAACTACTGGTCAGCACAAGCCTAATTCTGTCAACGTGGCCCATGTGTAGTCCCCCTCCCTCAGTGACATCTGCCCTCTAAATAGAGTAATTTATTTACTAACTTCAGCTTCTGGGGCCACCCTGAGTCTTTGTAGAAACATTTCATAAGGTGGGTGACTCACGTTTCAAGCCCTTTTTTTTTCTCTGCCACGCCTTACTCATCAGGAGTTATTTCAAAAACATAGAATGCAGAGGCAAATGATACAATTTCCTACCTCATCTGTCACTTCCAATATGGCAAAGTATAGCCATGAATTTTAATTGTATATACCAGATTTGGAGCCATGGGAATGGAGAGTTAAGAAAGCCAGGGATGGCCAGCCCTGCTACAATGGACAAATTGCAATTCTGAGATAACACTGGAAACCCGGATTCAGTTGATGTTCAGTTCTGTGAAGAATGATTGAAAAGTTGGAAAGGGAGAATTGGAGGCAAATAAGCCATCTCCCCAGATACCCTGAGTAAGACTTCCTCTGACGTGTCCATGGCTCACAGCAACAATGATTTTTCATTCTCCCCTTGCTGCACTCCCACATCCAATCCTTCATCAAGTGCAGCCTTTCTCCAAATCTCTCAAATTCGTCTGCTTCTCTCAATTTGCACTGCCACAGCCTTTGCATCAAGCCACCACCTTCTCTCTTCTGGATTACACACAGCCTCCTGAGGGGGCTCTCTGCCTTCCACTAGGGCTGCTCTATGGTCTGCTTTCTTGATAAGCAGCCAGAAGGAGGGTCAGCTTTGCCACCCAGAACACTACAGTGGTTTCTTCTTTAAGAACATAATGACACCACCCTTCCTCCTTCTTCATTTCTTATTTTTAATTTTTGCAAGGACATGCTTGCACGTGCTTTCCACTTGCAGGTAGCGTCTCTCCTTAGTGTCCATGGGGTAGTGGTTCAAGGGCTCCTTCTGACACCAGAATCTAGAGATGCTCAAGTCCCATACATACTCTGGCTTGGTATCTGTATATAACCAATGCTCATCGCCTGTGTAATTCAAATCATGTTTAGATGACTTGTAATACCTTATACAATATAAATGCTACACACACAGGTGCTGTGCTGTACAGTTTACAATATAGTAACAAGAAAAATATCCATGGGTACTTGACATGCTCAGGACAGAAGCAATTTTCTCCCCAAGTTTACTTAAATCTGCAGCTATAGAACTCATGGATACGAATGCCAACTGAAGTTTTTCTATATGATAAATACCCATTTGGGTCAGCTGTTAACTTTTTAAATATGCTATTTATTTCACCTACTTGAAAGGGGGTGGGGTGGAGGGGTTATCCCTTGGGCCATCATGTCTGCTTCCTTTACTCATTAGCACCAACATGGACCGGAAGCAACATAGAGGGTACCCAAACCAGCTCTACAGTACGCGACACCGGTGTCCCAATCATTGCTTAACCTGCTGTGCCCCAAGACCTGCCCCATCACAGTGTCAATTAAAGAGCGCCAGAAAGGTTTCTCTTGGCCCAGAATTCTCACAATCGCGTTAGTTTACAACACAGCATACACAATTCAAATAAATAACTCCAAAAACCAACAATACCGAGTTCACTGTATTTTTCAATTGGGTATTTCACTATTTTGTAGAGACCCTCCCGACTCCAACCCCACCTGCATACTCACGAGTTGGCGTGGATGAACTCCAGATGCAGCTGGGCTCGCTGCAGCACCGCATACTTCTCTCCCATGCTCTCCAACAGGACCCAAGCGACCCAAATGAGCACCGAGACTGCACCCAGTGCGGGTCGCCGACGTCCTCGCGCATGCCCACGCACACACCCCTGCCCACGCCCACGCCCACGTGCGGCGCCATAGCGTTGCTAACACACGCGCCCTCTGGCGGCGCAAGGCAAAGCTCACCCAGCGCGTCTTGGACTCTCAGCTCATGGTCCTGGATCTACTACTGGAAGAGGACACATCACAGCATGGCTCCTCTTCAGGAACTGAGGATTTTATAATTTTCTTGGACAGGTGCTGCATTCCTTGCTGCTTTAATCACTCCCCAGAAGGAACATGGAGCCATTTGATGACTAATGGCTGCACACACATACGTATCAGAATGGGCAGAATCAGCTGGTGCTGTGCTGTGGCGTAGCTAGTAAAACTGCTGCCAGTGGCGCTGACATCCCATTTGGACGCTGGTTCTAGTCCCGATTCCTCCTCTTCTTATCCCGCTCTCTACTATGGCCTGGGAAAGCAGTGGAGGATTGCCCAAGTCATTGGGCCCCTGAATGCGCGTGGGAGACCTGGAAGAGGCTCCTGGCTCCTGGATTCAAATTGGCCCAGCTCCGGCCATTATGGCCATTTGAGGAGTCACCAGATGGAAGACCATTCTATCTGTCCCTCTGTCTGTAATTCTCTCTCTCTCTCTCAAATAAATAAATCTTTGAAAAAAAAAAAAAGAATGGACAGAATCTGGGTTGTGTGGGAAGAGTGTGTAAGGAGCTAAATAGGCGGTTCTCTTCCCTTGTGCATCTGAGGGAAGGGAGATTTGTATTCTAACCCAGTGTTCATCTTCCTGTGTCTCTTGATCATGTGTTCTCCATTTGAAGGAAAAGAAAAGGCAGAGGATAAAAAGAACTAAAGACGTTTAGAATAGAATTTGGACTTGGCTGCAATGTGGAAACTTGTTTCTCCATGAGTACAATCATACCCACCTGGAGCGGTCACTAACTTGTTTTCACT